TAGAATTATCCCAGAACTATTATGGAAGCATTAGTATTTCAGTAAAATAATTACTGAGCACCTACTAAATGCCAGGAGCTGTACTGTCACTGGGGATACTTCTAAGAATATTCTCTAGTGAAGAAACCAAGACTTGCAAAGAAATAATTATAAAACAGTTACAGACATTTGTACAAAGTGTTTAAGGAGCACTGGGAAAGGAAATTTTTAAAGGACTATTTGCTCATTTGTTTTCACGTGATAGTTTTGACACTGTAGATTACCAACTAGGGTTGCTGAATACAAAAACTGATACCTAAGAGGTTGTATGCATATGCTAAGTGTAATGCAAACATTTTTACTGGAAACTGGAAGTTACCACACACTGGCTTTTAAAACTCATCTTCCTAGAGTGGGTCATTTTTGTGGATCTGTTACTAATACAAATTTAAGTGTATACTCAGCTATCAACACAAATGCAGATGTTTTAAACATTTACCCTTTCACAGGTTCTTTTCTATGATTTTTTTTGTGGGGCTGCTGTATAGTTATTGAGTGGCTACCAGGCCCTGGCCACTGTGTGATCAGCTGTACTCCTGTGGGCCAGCCTCAATGGTAGAGGTCAAAAGAGGGCAAGGGCTTCTCTGAGAGAGCTGGCTATGCACTGCACACTGGAAAGCCAAGGAGCTAGGCATCCCACTTTCATGCTGCCAGGCTCTGGACCATGGCCACGGTGACTAGATGTACTCCTACTCTAGAACAACCCTCAGTACACAGGTTAAGAACGTGGATCAAAGACAGCACCATGGGACACCCTGCTGGCATCTGGTAGATATTACAGGTGTTTTTCACTTGGGTCAGACTTTTCTCCCCAAGGCCTCCCAACTGGAAAAAGCAGGCTGGCTTTAAAAAACAACCTGGTAGTAAAACAAACAAGAATTTCTCATCACAAAACCTGGATTCAAGTTCTGGGCCTGCCACTTTAACATCTCTGAGCCTATTTCCTCAAACTGCAAAATGAGACTAAATACTAAATGAGGATTAATATGAGCCACAGTATCAGGACTGGGAACAATGGCTCACACCTGTAATCCCAGCACTTTTAGGAAGTCAAGGTGGGAGGACTGCTTGAGCCCAGGAGTTCAAAAACAGTCTGAGAAACAGAGCAAGACCCTATCTCTACAAAAAATATATAAAAGGTAGCAAGGGCATAAACCCAAATTTGAGGTTACTATTCTAGGAATATGCGTGATCTGACTGAAGAACAGTGTCTCAGATTTAAGCTACGTGGCACACCAGCCTAAGATTTCAATAATATATTTATTGACAAACATTTATTAAGGTATAGGTACTAGCATTCTGGACATCTTAGAAGAAATGTCAAAAAGTTAAAAACATAGCCTCTGGGGGGCCAGGCACGGTGGCTTATGCCTCTAATCCCAGCACGTTGAAGGCCGAGGCGGGCAGATCACAAGGTCAGGAGTGTGAGACCAGCCTGGCCAACACAGTGAAACCCTGTCTCTACTAAAAATACAAAAAATTAGCGGGTAACTGTAATCCCAGCTACTTGGGAGGCTGAGGCAGGAGAATCGCTTGAACCCAGGAGGTGGAGGTTGCAGTGGGCCGAGATTGCGCCACTGCACTCCAGCCCAGGTGACAGTGCGAGACACCATCTAGAAAACAAACAAACAAAAAACAAAACAAAAAAACACAGCCTTTGCTCCCGGTTTACTATGTAGCTGAGGGAAACAAAACATACATGTTGAACTAGAGAACAGCTTAAAGTCAACATGTGCATGCATGTGTAGCACACTTTTTAAAACATGCTGAAGCAAAGCAAAGCAGAAACAATGCAATTAGTTCAAGAATGCTTCAGTCATTAGGTGTGATCATGAAGGACTGAGATTTTTAATGGCAAAAGGAACAGGGCTGCTTATGGGATTTAGGGCGTGGGGTGTTAAAATGTATGAATGCTGGGTCTCTTGGTTTTGAGAGCATTGTTTAAGCTAGCTGATCCTATAAACCTGAAGACCAGGGTCAGGGTCCTGAAGTAATGCTTAAGACTCCCAACCCAAGGAATAATATACATACACACTAGTCTCTTCACAATACATCATTGTGTATTAATCTCTTTACGTATAGTTACCAACAACAACAAAAAAGAACCAAATGATTCTATCCCAAAGAGAAATATGCAGAAATTCTCATTGAGGCAGTACCACAAAATTCAGAGGCAACTTAAAGCTTCTTCTGTAAGAAGCTTAAAAGAGAATGACTGAAAAAGGATACCTAGGAGGCAACTACTTAGTCTTCTAGGGGACAATGTCATCAGTTCTTGGTGATCTGTACTGAAAGTGTGCATAGCTTACAACAAAACCACTTACTTTGGTTTTACAATTGGTCTTACTTTGCAAGACCAATTCTGGGAGCAACATTTACTTATCCATTATACTTGGACTTAGGCTAGCATTTAAATTAATTCAAAATTTCTGGCTTCACATCTGAGGAGTTATTAGTATTAAAATACCTTCTCCAATAATCCACCCAGTTAATGAACAGCTTGTGAAACAGACTTCTACAGTGCTTTGCTTTTAGGGAGTATTAAGTTCTTTCCATCTCGCCAATCAATATTAAACTGTCAGCATTGCATTTAGCTTATTGGGAAATATAAATATATTCAAGTTCCTGGGTCTGTAGAGTTAAAAAAATATATATATTTACCAAACCAACCAGGGTAGGGGAAGATGTAATTGAGAACAGGATAAATTGGAAAGGTAGAATATAACCCATTGTTAACTCATATTATGGGAGTGACAAGTTTTAAGAAAAAACTGGAGTCACTGAAACCAGCTCTAACACTTCAGAAATATGAATTTGGGTACAGACAAAAATGCTGATATGGCAGTTAGAGATGCGAAGACAAATCCAAACAGCATCTTGAAGAACTCTATTTGGCAAGTAAACAAATCTCTAGGTTAGTCTAAATCATAGATGCAATGACACCCTGAAGACACAGAACTTGACTATCATCTTGCTACAAATTTACTGTTTTTAGAGTACAAAGGAGCCATTTGAGTTTTCTTTGGAATGTGCTCATTGCACTGCGAACCAACATTTTACATTTCTAGCCTTAAGTTCTGTATGTCAGCCAGGTGCAGTGGCTCATGCCTGTAATCCCAGCACTTTGGGAAGCCGAGGCAGGCGGATCACTTGAGGTTTGGAGTTCAGACACCAGCCAAGCCAACATAGTGAAACCCTGTCTCTACTAAAACTACAAAAATTAGCCAGGTGTGGTGGTGGACACCTGTAATCCCAACTACTTGGGAGGCTGAGGCAGGAGAATCGCTTGAACCTGGGAGGCGGCGGTTGCAGTGAGCTGAGATTACACCAGTACACTCCAGCCTGGGTGACAGAGACCCTGTGTCAAAAACAGACCCCCCCCCCCCCAAAAAAAAAAGTGAATGTCACTCTTGGTGGTTATTATTTTGTAGTTCAAATTTCTAGGCATGCCACCATTAAGGACAGAAGAGATACACCCAGGACTTCCCAGTCCTATCTAAAGGCTATACCTTCCCTTTTGTTTGACTGATCCTATAGTCCTATGTATTAAGCCTTAATAACTGTTGAAAGCTTATCCCAAAATGACATATAAAGACTCCTCTAATACACAGCACCTGAGGAAATAATTCTACCATGGTTTTTCTTAGCACTTTACAATCTCCAGGTTTAGCACTTTTCTTTCTACAAGGAGAATTCTGAATTTTCATTTGCCTCATTTGTGGCTTCAGAGTGCATTTTCAAAAGTTATTTAAAAATTATCAAAGGCACACCAGAGCTAACATCTACAGGATTAAAGACAGGTTTCAATCTAGCTAGTGCCCTTTCAGCTGTCAATCCAATTTGCAGCAAGACTACTAGTTAACAGTAACTACTTTCTGTAGCCTTCCTTGCTACTTAGTGTTAACTTAGCAGGCAGGGAAATCCCTACTGTGTAAACTTGATTCCATTTTCCCCCACAAGAAGTCCACTTTGTCCACTTTTAGTGCCTTATTCTTTGAAACAGATCGACTTTCTAAAATTAATTTTAAGGCCAGTTGTACCACACCTGTCTTCTGGATGACTAAATCCCATTCATGAGGGCCTAAAAGGTTTAGTATTCTCAATGACAATTCATACTTTAAACAGGAGATAAGTTTGTGTCCTTCCCATTTTTATAGAAGAAACCTGGGGAGAAAGGGATGATGGGAATGACTAAAGTGTTTAGTCAATACTAAATACTAAAATACTAAAGTGTTTAATTCTCAGTAATTTTCATCTGTTAATATGGCATTAACTACTGTGTGTACTGACTTTCTGATCACAAGACAACTTGCTACTTAAGTGAGGCCTAGAAAATAGCAAACAGCTAAGTTGACACGTAAGTAGGATTTTAAGGCAAATTTTAAGAACCTCTTAGTAATACTGAGAAGTAAGATCATCACGCCTGAAACTGTCGCACCATAAAAGCAAACTACAGGTCTCTGAAAGCATACTCATTTCTTCCAGTTCATAACCAAATTGTTGTGTCTATATTTTTTTCCCCAGCACACCTAACTCCTGTTGCCAATTCTCACATTCAAGGCCTTCTTACTCCATACCTGATGTACAAGGTAGGCAGAAAAACAAGCAGACTTACGTCTTCAGCATTTTCTTAGTCCCAGAACCTAGATTTTTCCGTTACAAAATGAGTGACTGTAAGTTAAACTCTACCGAAAACCTAAATGGATGCAAAAGCTGAAAAGGGGAAGAATTTTGCACAAAAGATGGGAAGACAAAGGTAAAGTTACAAGAAAACTTACCCAAACCAACTAACTTTAGAGCTGATACAGAGGATCAAGGTAGTTAAGCTGGTCTCCACTTTGTTGTACCTATCTACAATGGGGATTATTTCCTGCTTAATTTTGTGTTATAGCTCCCTCTAGTGGCTAAGTGATTTTCCCTAGCACTTACTCCAATGGAGAGCAGTACAGCATGTTGTTTAAAAAAAAAAAAAAAAAAGACAGACATATTTCTACAAGTTGTTTTTGTTCAAAGTGCATTTGGTGGAGATGAGTATAGTATCCTAGAAAAGCTGTTTCCACTATCTTCATGTCCACAGTTCTACCAATAGTTGGCACTTAGAAGTTGGTGACAGAAGTTTGATGCTTTTTAACCCGATGCTTGAGTGTCAAGCTAAACTAAGTGTTCTGTTTTGCTTACCTAAGTATTAAACTTCTTATGAAAAGTCATATGACTTTTCACCCCCTGAAATCCCAGCCTAGCACCTATTAAAATGTTGTAAACTACAAATGTTGTATCTGCCTAAGTTAACTTATATGTGACAGAGTCATTTATTCAATTTTTGTTCTGTGCATTAATGAAGCACGGAGTGATTTTTATAATAAAAAATCCTTCCTTTAATCACTACAAGCTCACAACCACCCTCAGGATTGTTAGGCATTAGCTTTCAAAGCTACCAAGAAGCATTCCAAAGGTCTCAATAACAGGAATAAGTACTGGTTTAAGTATACTATAATCTCTTGGGGTCCATGTTTAAAGCAAAAGTTACCTTGGTAGCATTACTATTTATTCAATAGACAATCACAATAGACACAATGAACAGATGTTTCCTTATAATCTCTTTACTTCATGCCAATCCCAGCTTTTCCTATAGGATCTAACTGGTCAGTGTTCCTGTAAGTACTGATACAGAAACAATAACTCAAAAGAATGTTGTATTGTACACTCTAGGATGCCTGAGTATTTGCTTCAATGGGATATAATTGTTGAGTCCACTAATACAACAGAATGTAAAGAAATGTGGGCCGTACCTTTTTTTCTTGTGGCTGCTTCAGCCTAAAAAGATGGGGGAACTTAAAATTCAATCAATAAAGGATTCACAATAATAGGTTTTTCAGTCAAGACACCCCAGTTACAGACAAAAGCACTAGGCCTGTGTATGCTAGTACACTCCCTTATATGAACTCTTTGGAGGGAGACATATCTGGGATTCAGAGCTGTATGCACTTTATAAGGTACATATATACCCTGTATTACATAAAACCCTCAGCAAAGTCTGTGGCAACTGTGCAATGAATAATGAAGTTCAACAGGAAACAGTTTAGTCACACTAAGTGCAAAATGAAGGCAGCAATTCTGGTCAGGTTTCACATTTAATTAGCTCAACAACAGAAAATCTTTCGTTTTCATATAGTTTTTGGATTTCAAAAAATGGATAAGAGACTGTAATCTGTTTTCTGCGTTTGCACTCTTCATACTGTGATGGAAATAAGAGTGGTTATGTTACAACAGAACTTCAGTCTAACAGTTTCTCATCTTTTAATACTATTTATGGTAAATACATATATATAACTTACTTGCAATTTAAATTACAAAATTCATATACAAAGTAAGCAAAAAGGCACACATAAGAAATTCACCTTGACCACAGAAATGTGAAAACACCAGCCCTAATGACCAAGACAATGTTTCAAAGGCAACACCAAGAAAAGTTGAGATTCTACAACAAATCATATTAAATGCAAGCACTATGATGCGCAGACGTGAGCACTGAATATTTTCTAAAGCATAAAACAGGAAAAACCATTTTATGGGGAATCTATTCACATATTCCAAACAGCATTTTTGAAAATATTAAACTTAGCTTCGTTTTAAAAACAAAATTCAGACCCAAACAATCAGGAACCAGAAAATGGGTTTCTTACCTTTTGTTTCCAGTAGGATGTGGGCTGAACAGCAAGGTGGGTTATTCAATCTGATGTTATGAAAAGTAATTGCTTCTTAAAGAGACTTAAGTTTTTCCTTGGTTAGAAAATAATTATAGGCTCCCTAAAACATTCTAAGGGGACATAAATAGGGAGAAGAAGGGGAAATTCCAAGACAGCTTTTGTAGTTTCAAAAGGGTGTGACTTTAATAATTGCCAATATGGATAGAGACCTAAAGGTCCATTTTCTGAAACTATAAATAGGAGCAGTCCATACTTCCCATCACAGCTTTTAGCTGTCTGGTCATCTTAACTACAAAATCTATGCCCCTTTACCTTTCATAAGTAAACATGAGGTCCTCTCTAATCTTCAAATTCAGCCTGTATAACAAGGAATGCTGTCTCATTTCAATGTGAAGTTAGAATTACTGTAACTTTTAGTAGAGCACATCTTTCAACTTTAAACACTCAAACTTGAGTGAAGGCCATTTACATTTTTTGGTGGTTTCCAAAACATTCAATGAACACAAATGAACCAAAGTTTGCTTAAGTCTAGCTCACATTAACCTTACAAAATGATCATTAATCATTTATTTTCCCTTTAATAATCTGAATTTTAAAAATGTTCTACACATAAAACAGAATTTAGAACTTCAAGAATGTCATGTAAAATTATTCAAATTTTAAACAGTAAATCTGCCTTTTGGCCATTATATTAAATTCTTACATAAAAAGAGCTACATCCTTAATAATTTAAACTAAGTACTTTACTTAGTGAAATTCTGCATTCAACATCCCCTCTTCCCAACATTCCACAACGTTCATTAAAATCTGATTGGGGTAACCTTACACATTTCTTCCACTACTAAGATTTCTGGTTTTCCCTAGGTTTTTAATTGCCACCCGAATAATCACCTTAAATTCAACTTCCAACTATGATTAGCACCCGAGGGAAATGTTAAAGTCTAGTTACTTATTTTAGGTCCCCTCCCCCAACCTAAATAGTATCGGAGGCTGTCAGTAGACAAATACAAAAAGTAGCAGACTACAAGTTTTTAACGACTGCTTTGGTAGAGAACACCAAAGTTTTAGGTACAAAATAATCTTATGGTTGAGAAGGGCTTGTAAGTCAAAATTCTAAATGCCCAGCTTTTTATTAGCAACGATTCATCCAAAGAAGCAGTTAATCTTGTACACACTTTCCCTTTCAAAAAAGAAATGTGACTTGTGTTAAAAGTTCTACAGGCCGAGCATGGTGGCTCACACCTGTAATCCTAACACTTTGGGAGGCCAAGGAAGGCAGATCACTTGAGGCCAGGAGTTTTGGGACCAGCCTGGGTAACACAGAGAAACTGCACCTCTACTAAAAATACAAAATTAGCCAGGCAAGTGTGGCACACACTTGTAATCCCAGCTACTCGGGAGACTGAGGCACGAGAATCACTCGAATCCAGAAGGTGGAGGTTGCAGTGAGCTCAGATTACACCACTGCACTCCAGTCTGGGGAATAAAGCGAGACTCTGTCTCAAAAACAAAAAACAGTTCTAATACCTCTGTGCTGATGTTAACATTTAATACTTACCTTTTTTTGAGATGAGTTTCATTGAAAATATCAAAAGCTATCTCCAAGTGAACATTAATTTACTAGCCATCAACCAACTTTGCACAAAAGCCTATGTTGTCTATGACCACCAGAAAATAAGCAGCATCTACAGTTTTTTAACCAATTTATAACAAAGTAGAGAAGCTTATCTTTCAGATGCTAGATCCAACCCCCCACCATCATTTACCAAGTTACATACACAAATGCCTTATTCTCCCCTTTTGCCTTCCCCTGAAGACTTTTACAATTAACAATAAAAGATGGCTAATACCATTATAGTGCCTTTTAAGAACTTTTAATTTGCTAACACATTAATACAAGAGTCAAAATCTTATCTTACTTAACAATTTAAAGATTAACTGATAGACCCAGTTAGAATCTTACATGAAGAGGAAAAAGGACAACCATGCATAGTTTTTTAAAAAATGTTTATTTTTTCAAAGAAAAACGGCAATAGCCAATTGGAAACCTACTTATTCTTCAACTCCAATTTTGTTTTCTTTAAATTTAGAAGTGACTTACTGATTTACTATTTTAAACAAACCCCCCCTTTCCCCTTTAAATGTTTACCATCTACTCGTGCTGAATCCTTCCAAGGAGATTGCTCCAGCGTTTATCTCCAGGTCCTCGCTTTGCTCCTTTTACCAAAAAACGCAAAACACAATTCCATCGTGCATCTTAAGGGCTCCAATCGTCAAAAATAGGAAAAAAAAAATCTTTGGAATAGCCAATTAAGTTGAATAAAAAAATCCACACGAATGCGGTTTGGTTGGGGCAGGAATCCACTCCTATGTTCCTGGTAATCTGATCCCGCTCCATGAATCCTGGTAATTCATCCTCCCTATCCTATCCACATTATGATTTGAATCCAATGATCCAGCTCCAAGGATTGGGATCCAGTGAGCCCTCTCCAATCCAAACCTTTATAACCAGCAAAACCAAAAAAGAGGAGGCAAAATGTTAGATACTGTAATCAAAAAAGGTTTCTGGGGAATGATGAGTTATGTCTGTCATCAGTTTAACAGATGCACATCAATAACTATCAAATTCCCCAAAACAAGTTTCTGAATGGTGTTCAGATAAATTTTAGAAACTTAATCATCATAGAGACTAATTGGAAGAAGCATTTTGTATTTACAGTTCAACTGATAATGCCAACACTTGTCACTGTACAGCGTATTACAGGTTTCGTGGTTGCAAGAAGTTACGTAATTTAAGTTTACTGGCATTGCTACCCACCTAAGTCTAAAACTATATCTAATGCTCCCATTTGCAATTTAATTTGTAAATTAAAATCTTTTAAACATATGAATCAATTATGAATATTAGTTTAAAGGGGAAGGTGAGACTTAAAAGTATTCCCAACTAGATTATCTACACCAATACATTGGAACTCTACATTTTGCTTTCATTTTGTCTTAAAAAAATGAAATAGCAACGCTCTATCAGTCACACAGAGGACATGCAGATTTAGCAGTATTGATATTATACTCTATCTTGTTGGATTTAAAGACACCCTGTACCCACATGTACACCAACAGCAGGTCACACATTAACAGTTGTAACTAAGCACTGTGACAAATTAGCCAGTTCTTCCCACATTAGTCCCTATTAAAACAAAAATGGGGGGAAGGGAGCAAAATAAGTTGCTACAAAATGGGCAATATAATTTTGCCACAATTGCCAAGGTTTAAAGAGCAAAGCAATTGTAGCTAAAGATAACTGAATAAAATGTTTGCAAGTGTTTTAAGGAAAACGTATATAATCATTTTTAACCCCTGCCTTTTAGTATAAGGTCAATACTGCCAATTTCATCTGTGACAATAGCACTTGGAGTCATACCATTGCCTCCATTATTGATCTGATCCTCCTCAATCCTCCTTTTGACAATCCTAAAATGATTGAAATGTGCTCCACAATCCTTAATCCAAAGCATTCTTAATCCATCTCTTCAGATATGTCTACAGAAAGACACATGAAAAGCAAGATAAACATAAGAACTTCCCCAGGTAAGATAACCACAAACACCCCCAACATCCCAGTTCACACAAACCAGGGCAGAATAGACATTTACACAATATCACAGTCTGAAGAGTATGGAGTTAACTAAATTTAAACAATCCTGTCTATGACATCACTTAAAATACAATTTATCGAAGACACGAGGGGAATGTAGATGTTAGGAGCAAGGGGATATTACAAGAATGCAATTCAACACTTTAGCCCATTCTGAACAAAACAGTTTGAATTAAAAAATGAAAAGATTGTACTGAATAAAGGAAAACTGTATACAACATGGGTTCTACAAAAAGTGTCACCAATCATCTTATGTACGAGAGCGAGATCTGCTATGACGGGGAGAATAGCGTGGTGATCCTCTGCTTCTCCTTGGGGAGTAACTGCGACTCCTGCTGTTGCTTCTGCTACGGCTTCTGCTACGACTACGGCTTCGAGATCGAGATCTTCCATAACTTGGACTTCTGGGCCCATCAACTTTAACCCGGATGTAGGCAGTTTCTCCCTATTGGATAGACAGAACTTTCCATTGAAAGATCTAAGCTTTCATCTATCTTCAGGCATGCTGAATGCATACAATGTAACTACAACCAGAAATCTGGCAATTTACTTGGACACCCTTGCCTGAATTCTTACCTTCAAATTCCACTGTTAAGACCACTGTATCCAATTCTGGTCAAAGAAAAGAATAAGCGTATAACCTACCTCATGAGATCTAAACTTAGTGTTATCCAGTTTTCGAACTGCATAGGTCATATCTTCTTTCCGTACAAACTCCACGACACCAGTGCCATCTCGGTAAACATCAGCATAACATACATCACCTGCTTCACGCATGTGATCCTTTAAATCCTGCCAACTTCCACTTGGAGGCAGTCCTGAAAAAGTGATTTTTTTTCTTAGTATCAATTATCTTAAATTTCACGTTAAACTGGTAAGGTACATTAGGACAAACAGTACTTTAAAATACTTAATAGGTGTACTTAAGTGATACCAGGTAAAGAGCTGGTAAGATTCTGGGATCCAGAGTCCAAAATTATTTGTAACGGATCTTCGTATCTAGTACCGCAACCTAATTTGGTAAATCACCACAGCAGCAATCCTCGTTTATTAAATTCACCCAAAAACTAAAGCAATTTAAGACCTAGCATGAAAAATTTGCAATTGTTAAACCGATCATGCAAGACAAAAATTTTAGGTAGCTTCCGTCCCTTCACATCAATCCACACAACCAAGTACACTCACCAGAGACAACCACTCTGTTTTCAGACCGCCTGGATGGGGGGCCATAGCGACCTCGGGGAGCTCCGCCACCTCCACCCCCGCCGCCGCCTCGGCCTGTTCCACGGCCGCTTCGAGGAAACTCCACCCGCAGACGGTACCCATCGTAATCATAGCCGTCGCGACCATACACCGCGTCTTCCGCGTCTCTGCGGGATCGCAGAAAGTAAAAGGCATGAGAAAGACCAGGAGGAGAAGCTCGCTCAGTCGGGAACCCCCCGCACATGCGCACCCAACGTGGAAGAGCCCACATGCGCCGCATAATAGGAATGGCCCCTCCCCCACCCAGAAACACGCCAGGCTCCCAACCACTACACCAGCCCTCAGCGCCTCAGTTTCCCGCTCCAGCCTGCGAATGGGCTCCGGGGACGTCCAAGGCGAGGCGCCAGAGAAGCCACACCAACTCAGCTCCTTACTCGACTCCTGCATGGGCGATACAGTCTCGCCCCAACCTCTCTAAGAGCCCCCGCTTCCCCGTTCTCTATGTTAAGGCCTTGGAGCCTTCCCCGACTACTCGGACCTATTTCCTCAAGGCTGCAAGCCCCATGCCGCCTCACCGCGGGTCCTCGAACTCAACGAAGGCGAAGGGCGGTCCCCCGCGGCGATTCTTGAGGTCGATGTCGCGGATAGCGCCGTATTTGTAGAACACGTCCTCAATGTCCTTGGTTCGGATGTCTGGAGGTAAGTTACCCACGTAGATGCGGCAATCGTTGTTCCCTGCGGGGCCACGAATCACACCACCTCCCGACATGGCGGTGACGAAAAGCGCGGACTCGAGAACAGGCCTTCCCACCAAGCCTAGCGCACCGCAGAGCGAGCCCGCAGCGGCACCACGTCTCCCGCGGCCCCTCCAAAATGGCGCCTTTATCAGCTCGGCGCACGGATATGGGGGGGAGACAGAGGAAGAGAAGCGGAAGGAAACAGCGATTCGATCCCAACACGCACGCGCGGGAGCGCAACGGATGCTGCGAGGGATACGCGCAACGCACGCGCACGCACGCGCGACGTCACCCTCCGCACGAAGGGGGAAAAAAAGTCCCCCGCGTTCCCCGCTTGGGGTGGTTTGCGAATAGAGTGAGCAGCCGTTTGGTAAAAGTTAAATAAAGAACTCTCGTTAAAGGAGCTAGTCATCCAGGTCGGGTCTTGAAGGATAGTCAATTTCCCCAGGAATGAGGAGCTTTGAAAGCAACTCGGCGCCTTCAAAGGACTTGGTGAAACCTAGCCTAAAGCCTTGTCCCACCATGCTCTGCGGCGATAACGGCCTTTGGCGGGAAAGAGACTCGGAGGCGGGGCTAAAGGGGGAGGGCTCGGGCGGTTGCTCCGGAAACCCGGGTATCTTCGTAGAGTGCGTCTAGTCCAGAGCTGAGTTGCCGGTGACTGAATGGAGAGCTGGGGCGTTGGTTTGTCTTCCCGCCCCTGCTGCGAACAGGCTGTGGCTGCTTAGACAGATGTGTCTAATTTAGCGAAACCGGTTTAGATTCCTTAATCCTTTTCATTAAGAACCGTTCCACCTTCTCGTCAGAACTTTGCATAGCTCAGTTCAGCACTCCTTGTGCTAGTCGCAGTGGGCCCGTACCCCGACCTTTCAACGTGGTACCCGCCAACCAGAAGGGGTAACAGTACTGCTTCTGGGACCCACACCTCTTTATCTCTTGTTAATCGCCTATCCGTGGGACTAGCGCAGATTGCCTGCAGAATGAATTGTTTCCGTTGTTTCCTTTTAAAGAACGAGAAGGAAGAAAAGGTGCGTGTGTGCAGTCCTTTTTTCAAAAGTTTCCTCTAAAAGTTACTGAAATTGAAAATACCGGTCCTCCCAGGTAATAAAATGGAGCGAAATGGATGAGAGCCGTAACCACTAGAGACCGCGGTTGCTATTCAGGACTGTGATCCTATTTGCCTGCGACATTGGGAGATAACATTTTACATTTTTTTTCGACGTCTGCAATCTGGATTTTTATGTGAAATCCTGGGATTTTTAAACGTCGCTAATGAAGTCAAATTAAAATCAGGCTGGGCGCGGTGGCTCACGCCAGCACTTTGGGAGGTAGAGGCGGCAGATCACTTGAGGTCAGGAGTTCAAGACCAGCCTGGCCAACATGGTGAAATCCCGTCTCTACTGAAAAAAAAAAAATTAGCCGGGCTTGGTGGCGGGCGCCTGTAATCCAGCCTACTCGGGAGGCTGAGGCAGAAGAATCGCTGGAACCCTGGAGGTGGAGGTTGCAGTGAGCCGAGATCGCGCCATTGCGCTGCAGCCTGGGCTACAGAATAAGACTCCTCCTAAAAAAAAAAAAAAAAAAAAAAAGAGGGGGAAACAACAACAAAATCAAATCCTGCAGTCATAAATTTGCGATAACAGATCTACACCCTGAATTTCAGGGATAATTTTCTTCATGTTATTTACAGCAGTCCCTCTCCGCAAGGATGTGAGGCAACTTACAGAGATACCATAAAACATTATTAAAAGTAGATGAGGCTGGGCGTGGTGGCTCACTCCTGTAATCCCAGCACTTTGGGAGGCCGAGGCGGGCGGATCACCTGAGGTAAGGAGTTTGAGACCAACATGTCGAAACCCGTCTCTTCTAAAAATACAAAACATTAGCCGGGCATGGTGGCGCATGCCCGTAATCCCAGCTACTCGGAAGGGTGAGACAGGACAATCTCTTGAACCCTTAGGAGGTGGAGGCTGTAGTGAGCGGAGATCATGCCACTGCACTCCAGCCTGGGCGACAGAACAAGACTCCATCTCACACACACACACACAAAAACTAGAGGAATGGGAAAATAAGGGGTGGATTAAATGAAATAAGCATAAATTACTATACAAAATGCCTGCAGTGAAAGCCTGTTGAATTTGTTGAGATAGACTGCAAATTTTACTTTAGTCTTTGCAGAAGTCGCGGTAAAGAAGGGTACACCAGTATTGCGTATTCAAAATCCAAGGTGCCTTTGGGATAAAAATAAATAGGTCATTCAGGAGAAGGACATGTTTTCTTAATTCTAAAAGCTGATGAAATGTATTTTACAAATGTCTCTCGGTGACCCCAGAATACATATTCAATTTGAAATGAGCAGGGATGCTTGGTCTTGTGCCTGAAGATCCTCAGTATATCCACAGATGACCTTTGGTAATCCTTGAGCTTTCTGTAATGTTTTCCAAAATTATATGCATGTGTGCATGTACAAAATTATATGCATGTGCGTACTTTTTTCTGGGAAGAGGATTTGAAATTTTAATCAACTTCTTAAAGGAGTCCATAGATCCCAAAAGGGAAAAGAACTTCTGAAAATTGTCAAGGGAGGGTTAGATTGCCTATCCTTCAGAACATCCTTCAAGTATATATATAGGGGTGTGTGTGTGTGTGTGTGTGTGTGTGTGTGTATAAGAGCTGGGGCGTTGGTTTGTCTTCCCGCCCCTGCTGAGTGCAATGGCGTGATCTCAGCTCAGTGCAACCTCTGCTTCCCTGGCTCAAGCCATTCTTGTGCCTTGGCCTTCTGCGTAGCTGGAATTACAGACATATGCCACCATGTCTAGCTAATTTTTGTATTTTTAGTAGAGACGGGGTTTCATCATGTTGGCCATGCTGGTCTCGAACTCCTGGCCTCAAGTGATCCTTTGGCCTTGGCCTCCCAAAGTAGTGGGATTACAGGCATGAGCTCCCGCACCCGGCCAGTTTTTTTCTTTGAGACAGGGTCTTGCTCTGTCACTCAGGCTGGAGTGCAGTGGTGCAATCAGAGCTCACTGCAGCCTCGACCTCCTGGACCCAAGCCATCCTCCCACCTCAGTCTCCTACGTAGCTGAGACTACATGTATGCACCACCACTTCAGACTGATGTTTGTATTTTTTGTAGCAATGGGGTCTCGCCATGTTGCCCAGGCTGCTTTTGAATTCCTGAAGTCAAGCGATCCTTCCATCTCGGCCTCCCAAAGCGGGGGGATTACAGGCATGAGTCACTGTGCCTGGCCAGAGCCTGATATGTTTTTAAATGAGAAAGTGACCAAAAAAGATACTATTTCAACAAATCTACTGTTTCTAGCATTGTTTCATTAAGTGAGTGGCAGAAAAGAGGAGAGTTTTTAAAAACTTGCAGCCTGTTGATTCTTTCAACAGTTATTTGCTGAACATATTTATGTTCTTTTATCCATCAATTTAAATTTATGCAGGCAAAGTTTCTGTTAATTAATGATAAGTCAATGATAACTGAAGTAATAACTGAAATCCATAGTTTATAATTGAATAGTTCATTTTAAGAAGGGATGAGACAATACATAGGTACTTTTAATTTCAAGGTATTTTCATTCCAGAAAAATATAACTGAATTTGCTTTGTTTGTTTGTTTGAGATGGAGTCTCACTCTGTCACCCAGGCTGGAGTACAGTGGCAGGATCTCGGCTCACTGCAACCTCCTCCACCCAGGTTCGAGCGATTCTCGTGCCTCAGCCTCCCAAGTAGCTGGGACTACAGGCATATGCCACCACGCCTGGCTAATTTTTGTATTTTTAGTAGAGATGGGGTTTCATCATGTTAGCCAGGCTGGTCTCGAACTCCTGACCTCAAATTATCTGCCCATCTTGGCTTCCCAAAGTGCTGGGATTATAGGCGTGAGCCACCACACCCAACCTGAATTTGCTTTGATTTATTCTTGTCTGTCTAATTTAATGCAGTAATTTCTGATTTTGTTCAGTTCAGCACAATACAAAGTAGAACTTAATTGAGAGTGAATAGGACGTTCTTATTTCTCCACTGGCATCTTTTTTTGTATTTGAATGTAACCGACTATTCTGGAGTTGATGATGAAGTCAGTATATGGCAGGAAGAGTCTTGACGGCTGTTTTATCAGGTCTCCCAGGATGGCGTTAGCTTGGTGATGATTACAATTAAGGATATTACCAGTTAACCAGAGTTAACATATTTCAGTCCACAAGAGTAAAACATCAAAAAAGCAAATCAACAACTTATTTGGAAATAAGAACAAAACAAGGTGAATCATTTTGAGGGATATTTCATTCAGATCCTGAGACCTGATAAATGATCCCTGCCCCCATAACAAAGTATTTCTCTCCAAGACAGATAAATTCACAGCACCTGAATTCTGTGTCTCTGTACCCTGGACAGTGCTGGGTAAAGACTGGCAATTATCTTTCTACAGACTAATCTTCACACAATTCTCTAAACAATATACTAGATGGTTGATTCCTTTTGTGCTGAGCAAATTACAACCACTTCCAGTTTTGCCTCCTGAGATTACATCCTCATCTTAATTGGAGTTTGAGGGTTTTCTAAACTTCTTAGTTATGCATTCACTGTCAGTTTTATGAATTGCTCCCACAACCAGCGGATTTATTAAGCATTAACTTTACCAACTTCATTGTCGGAAGCAACCTAATTTTTTTTTTTTTGAGAGTCGCCCAGGCTGGAGTACAGTGGCCAGATCTCAGCTCACTGCAAGCTCCGCCTCCCGGGTTTACGCCATTCTCCTGCCTCAGCCTCATCCCAGCAACCATGGAAGGCTGAGGCGGGTGGATCAGCATAATGTCAGAGTTTGAGACCAGCCTAGCCCAACATGGCAAAAACTCCATCTCCCTACTAAAAATATAAACATTAATCTGGGCATGGTGGCAGGCAACCTATAATCCCAGCTACCTTGGGAGGCTGAGGGCAATGGAAAATCCACTTGAACCCTGGGAGGTGAGGGTTGCAGTGAGCCAAGATCGTGCCAACTGCAACCCCAGCCTGGGCGACGAAGAGCAAAATCGCATCTCAAAAAAAATAAAATGAAAATTTAACAAAACTGTGCTGGGTGTGCTGTCTATCAGACACCCCATTTTTTGCAAGAGCTGTCATTAAAGTCTCACTTTCACAGTTCTCAGCTGGGTCTCTGAGTCCAATTCTTTGGTTTGCATGGGTAAGTTTGTTTTTCACATAGAAATGACCAACAATAGAAAAACCAAAGCCAGTACCACAAGACATTGCAATTGGGTTTGGCTCCACGCATTCTAACTGAAAAATTTAAGCTGAGCAAATTTCACTCAAAGGTTACTAAAACTGCACACCCAGAATCAGTCCGCACACAAGCGCAGAGCTTTCATGGAGGTTTTAAACCAGTGCGATCAAGAACCCTGAAGCAATTTTTTTGAAAATGGTAACAGGACATGAGAACTGGCTTTCTACCAGTACAATCCTGAAGGCAAAGCACAATCAAAACAATGGATACAGGAGGTGGAAATGGTCCCAGTAAAGCAAAAAAATGGACCCAGTCCCCAGAGCAAAGATCATGGGCAAGCAGTTTTTTTGGCTGCTCAAAGTGCATTTTGCTTGTTGACTTTCGGAGGGCCAAAGAATGAATAATTATGTGCTTATTACAAAAACTAAGCAGATAGGTTATTATTGAGAAGTTAGCACAAAACATTAGCAAAACAACAGTAACAACAAGCTGCCCAGGAAAGCGGTCCTGGAGGAGTTCCCACACCATTGACAATGCTCCCTTGCTTATGCTCTCATCAAGCAAGGCAATTTTGCAAGAGAGGTTTTGTGGGAAATGATTAGGTCATTCACCTTGCAGTCTTTGACCCCTTCTGATATCTTTTTGTTTCTCAATCTTTAAAATGTGTGACACTAGACCCCTTTAAAAATAATAATAATAAAGTGAAAAGGCCTGGCGCCAGTGCTCATGCCGCTAA